GGCTCCACACCCCCAGGCTCAGCACCCCCAGGCTCAGCACCCCCAGCAGGACGAGAGTCGACAGCTACCTCAACAGGCTCAACCGGGTCTACCTGAGACACACCTGAGGGAGCGGCACCCTGAGGGGGTAGGGGGTCTGCAACAGCAGCACCTGGCGCGAGGAAGAGAGGCGGGGGGGGGAGCGGGGCAGTGCGATAGGGGAAGAGGCGGTAGTAGGGGACGGACTCGTCAAAAGTGACGTCCTAGGAGGGCAAGACTCGGCGCGAGGTGGCGTGGTAAAACTGCCAACCAGACGCGTCCGGGACAAAGCCGAGGAAGACGCAGGGAACAACACGGGAGGAGAGCTTGTCCGCAGACGAATCGCGGACAAAAGCTCGAGACCCCCAGACCCGGAAACGCGACGCATCGCCAACCTCCCCCGTCCACAGCAGCATGGGCGAGGTCTCTGGCAAGGAGACACGGGGCCAGAGGTTGAGCTGATGCGCAGCGTACCGGACCGCAAACGGCCACAGAAAGTGGGGGGCAGCCGCATGGATCAAGGAGGTACGGGTGACCTCCATGACCAGGCCAATGCGGCGCTCCGCAACCCCATTCTGCTGTGGAGAAGTCGGAAGCGTGAACGACTGCTCAATGCCGTGCTCAGCACAGTAGGCTGCCAAGAGGTCGGAGGAGAACTCACCACCTCTGTCAGAGTGCAAGCGCAAGACACGAAAGTCCGAGTGAAAACGCTCGCTGAGCTGGAGACGGGCTCTGCGGATCCAAGGGATCAAGACATCAGGGACCTCACCCTTGGTGCACAAGGGGAAGACCGAGGTGTAGCGCGAGTAGTCGTCAACAACTATCAGGAAGTACCTCTCCTGACCCTGACCACGGACGCGGGCTGGGCCCCACACGTCCATGTGGAGTGTCTGCAAGGGAGCAGTCGTCGGGGGGAACGAGGAGGAGTGAGGAGCGGCGCGCTGCCGTCCCTCGACACAGGGGAGACAGGTAGGAGTAGGCGAGGGTGGGAGGGCAGGAAGGACCCTGGGCAGGCCAGAGACAAGGTACCGGGAGTGCATGGCACGAAGCCGCTGCACAGACGAGTGGCCAAGGCGGTGGTGCCAGAGGACAGTCTCGTGTGTCAAAGAGCGACACGAGCAGGGGGCGGACAGCTGACCTGATGCGGACGCGGACGCAGTCGCAGCAACCTGAGGGGACTCAGTGGTCAGTGTGTACAGGTCCGACCCCGGCTGCCGAGTGAAGGTAGCCAAGTGACGGCCCGTACGAGCACACGTGCAGTGTGTCACGCGCTCGTAGGCAGGGGTGAACTGGTGAACACCCCCGTCCTGGAGTGCACATCCTGCCACCAAGTTCGTAGAGAACGAGGGGAGGTGGAGACCTGACAGTGTGCCCGACGGGACCGCAGGGCAGGGAAGGACAGTGGAAGAGGTCGCAATGACCGGACCCCCAGAGGGGTCAGCAAGGGAGACAGCAACTGGCCGAGCAAGCGGCTCAAGGGCAGTGCGGTCACGAAAGAAGCAGCGAGAAGCACCTGATTCCAGTCTGAAGGTGTGCAGTGCGGCAGTCGACGCAGTACCAAGGGGGGGAGACACACGAGCACCTAGAGCAGCAGCCTCACCAGCACCTGGGGTAGCCGACACGCGAGTACCTGGAGCGGCAGACGCACTGGCCCTAATGCCCGGGTCGGGCGGCACACACAAGTACTCAGCACCCTCTCCACTAGTAGACATCACATACATGGCAGATAGAATAGCATCAAAGTCTAGAGCATAGATATCAATCCCCTTCTTCAGGAGATCAAGCCAGCGGGGCAGCTCAGTGGCCTGAGGGAACTGAACACGCCAAGCGTCGTCGAGACGAGAGAAGCAGCGCTGTGTGGCGTGCGGTCATCCACACTGCTGACCAGTGCGGTCACCAGTGCGAATGACGTACGTGCAGCTAAGACCACCCCCACCCCCGTGCTGAGAGTACCACTCACGGACCTCCTGGGGCGAGGGAGTGTGCTGCTGGCCCTGGCCACCGCCAGTGCCTCCACGGCCACCACCACCGCTGCCACCTCCTCGACCACCCCAACCCCTGCCGCCGCCTCGTCCACCGCCACCCCAACCGCCGCCTCCACTCCTGCCACCTCCCCCGCCGCTGCCGCCACCACCCCCACCGCTACCACTCGCCCCTCCAGCCAAGCCACCACCCCCACTGCCTCCACCGCCCCCACCGTCGCCTTCCCCGCCGTCACCGCCACCACCCTTGCCCCCTTTGCCCTTGCCGCTGCGGCGTCCGCTCGAGGCAGACGCAGCGCCGACCTTCTCAGTACGAAGAAGGTCGACAGCAGCAGCAGAGGCGACAGAGGGAAGAAGGGGGGAAGGAGAACACCCCTCAAAGAACAGGGTACGGGGGTCGCCACGAGAGGCACCTACAGCGACTATGCTAGTCCCAGCTGCAAGTAGCTCCTTCTCGAGGAGGGCAATGGTGAGCTCAGTGAGGAAACGAGCTAGGAAGTGGTCCCTGACAGCACGCAGTGTGTCAGGGAGGCGGGTGACTAGGTGGTAGAGAGTGAGCCAGAGTGGAGGGGGGTGCGTGGCAAGGAACTCAGCAGGCATGGCGGCACGGAAGCGGGCCTCACTAGTACGGAGGTGCGTGATGAGGTCAGCGACTGTGTGAAAGGAGGCCAGGTCGGGAAACAGGTAGGGGAGGGAGAGACGGCCTAGTGCGGCAGAGGCAGGTGAGGAGTAGCGAGCAACTACAGCTGTGTACAGTGCCTGTGCAGTCTTGTGCTGACCAAAGTGCTCGCGTTCGTCTATCGGCAGGGAGTTGCGAATGGCGAAGCGAGCGTGGGCATCACGAGTCTGCCACTGTGAGCGAGCAGTGCTATCAGCAGTAGCAGCAGGGGCAGTGACATGGCCTAGGGCGTGATCGTACATTGAGATGTCATCCTTGGCTGTGAGCTGTAGGTAGAGGTGCAGGTCATCGAGCCAGGTGTCAAACTTCACAGGGCGGCCCTCAGCATCGAACACGAGAACCTGTGGGCTAGCCATAGGAACAGTAGAAATAGCAGCAGTAGTAGTAGGAGAAGCAGGTAGGACGAACCAGGTAGGGCAGGGCGGCGCGGCTCGGTTCAGGTCGGGTCGCGGCTCGGCTGGGTGGCGCGGCTCGGTTCAGGGCGCGCGGCTCGGCTCGGGGCGCGCGGCTCGGGTCGCGCGGCTCGGGTCACGGCGGGGACGGGCCGCCCGCTCTCCCTCATGTGCTGCGGCGGGAACGGGCCGCCCGGGGCCTCTAGGTGGTGGGCACGGGTCGGCGAGGTCGGCACGGGGCCGGTTGGGGCCCTAGAGGGGTGAGCGCGGGGCCGATCGGGGCCTGAGCGGGGCTAGCGCGGGGCCAAACGAGGCCTTGACGGGGCTAGCAAGGGGCCGACGGGGCCTGAACGGGGCTAGCGCGGGGCCGACGGGGCCTGAAACGGGGCCGACGGGGCCTGAAACGGGGCTAGCGCGGGCCCGATCGGGGCCTGAATGGGGCTAGCGCGGGGCGGACGGGGCATGAGAGGGGCTAGCGCGGGGCCGACGGGGCCTGAAACGGGGCTAGCGCGGGCCGACGGGGCCTGAGAGGGGCTAGCGCGGGGCCGACGGGGCCTGAAACGGGGCCAACGGGGCCTGAAACGGGGCTAGCGCGGGCCGACGGGGCCTGAGAGGGGCTAGCGCGGGGCCGACGGGGCCTAAAACGGGGCCGACGGGGCCTGAAACGGGGCTAGCGCGGGCCGACGGGGCCTGAGAGGGGCTAGCGCGGGGCCGACGGGGCCTGAAACGGGGCCGACTGGGAGAGCGGGCGCGGGGCCGACGGGGCCTGAACGGGGCCTAAACCCTGAACGGGGCTAGCGCGGGGCCTGAACGGGGCCTTAAAGGGGCCGACGGGGCCTGAACGTGGCCGCTAGGGAGAGCGGGCGTGGGGCCGACGGGGCCTGAACGGGGCTAGCGCGGGGCCGTCAAGAGGGGCCTCTAGGGGCGTGACACGCCGAGGCGCCCTAGGGCACAGGTTGGTAGGTAGGTAGGTAGTTACGTAGTGGTGGGCCCTTAGAAAATTTCGGTCCTAGGAAGGACCTGCTCTATACCATGTTGGAATCACTGAACAGGAATGGATGAACTAGCAGTGAAATGAGTACAAGTACCTAACCCTGGAATTGTGTACCCCCTATAGGCTAACCCACTGTAGCCTAAACTAACACAACATATATAATGTTTGACAGTCTTGTGACCCCTTGTTCTCCCCCACTTTGCCTATGGGGGTGTGTCAAACACTATATGTGTTATTATTGTGTAGGCTATAGTGGGTTAGCCTTTAGGGGGTACACAAAGTTAGGGTTTCTTACTTGTACTCCAACTTTCATAGTGCAATCACTTCTTCTTCATAACACGCACGACACTAGAACAAGCGGGCATGTTGGCGGCGGTGGCGAGGCCGACTTGGTAGGAGGAGAGGAGCGGAGGGCAGGGTCCGACGAGGAGTCAGTAGAGGTGTCAGTGTTTGTGTCAGAGTCGGAGTCGGTGTGAGGATATAGGATCAAGCTCAGAAAAGAGAGTTTGAAATGAATGAATCACCTGGGTACAACACGAAGCTATATATGGGCTCGAGACAAGGCCCCGTAACCAGGTGTTACGCGAAGGTTCTGAGGGTCGCGAAGCGTCCCAAATAGACCCTTCCCGAATTCGGTAGAAGGCAATTCGGTGGCAACCGAAGAGCCCAGAATTCGGTGCACGCAACCTAGCTCGGTGCTATAACTATAATAAAATATAGGAAAGCACATAGCCTAGGAAATCAAGCAATTCATGCATTCAATAAATAATCATATGCTAGAAATAGCATAGTAAAGTCTAGGCAAGCAAGCATAGCTGGCATAAGCCGTCGTACTCTCACAGTCGGGATCCGAGGAGGAGGAGGAGGAAGATGAGGAGGAGTTGGAGGCAGGGAAGAAGGCTTTTGGTGCTGAGGTGGATAACGACGCCAGTGTGATGGGAGTGGACGCGCAGGACCGTGGCGGAGATGTGGAGGTCGATGTGACGAATGTCGCCGAACAAGGTGCTGGTCGTGACCCGATGTCAACCGGCGGGAGAGGCACAAATGCAGCGTCGATTGGGGACAAGTCTCGTAGGAAGGCACCGGCGCATGGTCAGCCAGCATTGACCACCTCTTTTAAGTCGGCGTTGGTAGCCGCACTCCCCAACGTGAAGCGTCTGGAGGAGGAGAACAGGAGACTCAGAGGCGAGAATACAGGGTTGCGGTCGGCGCTGGATGCCGAGAAGGGTCGGACGAAGGGTTTGTTGGCGACGGCGGCTGGATGCCTCGAGGGTGTCAAGTCGCTGACCGAACGCGTCGTCGCGGCAGAGCAGACGGCCGGGACACACGTCTCCAATGCCACAGCAGCGATGAGCACCGTTTTCGCCAAGGTCCTGGACGATTGGGTGGCGTTGGTGAAAATGTGCGGCAGCATGGCGGTGCCATTGGTGGGGGAAATCACCAAGGAATTGGCCAAGCTCGGCGCTGAACGCAGTGAAGCCAACCAGCGGTTGGCGAACCACGTGTCCGCCGTGGCGGAGAACGTGAAGGTTGTGTTGGCCGATTTCATATAGGCCCAGATAGCCTCCACTTCCACAAATATTGTCGGCGGTGTATCCCGCGGCATCGCGCCGCCCCCTCCTCCCGGTCGTCCCCCCCGCACTGCCAGAAGAATCTATCAAAACAATAAGGGATGACTTGGTTCAGGCGGTGACCGCCGTCACGCAGCAGGCGCTGGGTACCGTCGGCTTTACACTACTGCCCAACGTGCTCGCTACGATGAGGCAGGGGCGGCGTGGTTCGTCTCCCTCGACCGGCGTACTGGAGACCGTGCAAAGGCAACGGCCGGAAAAAAGGGCTGGTAGTGGAGGCGCAGTCGACGACGACGACAAAGCAAATGTGTGGGTGGGAACCGCGGCGTCCGCGGCGACGTTCCAGATCGTTCCCAGTCTCGTTCAACCATCATCGAGATGCTGAAGTAGAAAGGGGCGGAAGTTCGACTCCTTTGCCTGCAGAGTAAAGGTGGAGCCGGCGGCAGCGCGGAGGGTAGGACTGGCGCCGAGGAGGGTGTGCAAACCGGCATGTCTTTCACCCACGCCGACGAAAGGAAAGGTCCGGAGATTCCCCGTCATCGAGCAAGCGAGGTCGCACCACCGCCGTCCGAAGTGGAGGCCGACGCGGCGACACCAACCGCCCGTCCGGCGACCGATGCAAGTGCCAGCATCGTCGGCAATGATGTTGGGATTCCTGGGGTGCAGGCCGCCGCTGTGCACCCAACCACCAATCCGGCTACCTGTGCAAGTGCCATCAACGTCGGTGTTAATGTTGCAGCTGTTGGGGTGCAGGCCAACGCGGTGCTCCCAATGCCGTGTTGCTCCCTACCGGCGGTGTCAGCGGGCCGCCCGTTGGCGTTCAAGCACCGACGATCACCTTGCAGATTGACCAGGTCCCTGCTCAAATGGTCGGCGTGGAGGAGGAGGACCCCATGGCGAGAGCTCTGATGGAGGAGCTTCTGGTTCTTCAGGCGCCTTCGCACCAGCCACCAGTCGCCTCTGCCAACGCCGCTGTACCAACACCTCACGTCGGATTGCAACCCGTCGCCGGCGTCTCAACGAGTGCGCCCTGCACGGACCACACAGTCGCCGCTCCCAGACCACCGAACCCGGTCGCGGCCGAGAGCTTTGCGCGTCAAGCGGCAGCACCATCCGCTCATCCGCCAAGTGGCCCCAACGTTCCGCCGACCGCGTGCCAACACGTCGCTGGTCCAACACCTCCTACGGAATCGGTGTCGACCATGCTGCTGGCCGAGATCAACGCGCGTCAAGTGGCTGCGCCTTTCGCCCCTCCGCCAACAACTGGCAGCGCAGCGCCGACCACGCAGCACACCGTCGCCGAGGTGACGCTCTCGGACCCGGTCTCGGATATGCTAATGGCCGAGATCACCGCGCTTCAAGCGGCAACACCTTCCTCTTAGCCGCAGACAACCGGCACCAGCTCTGCGCCGACCACGGTGAATTTGGGCGAGCCCGTACTCCAAGCAGCGGCACGCGAGACGACGGTTCCTCCGGCAGATCCAACCCCTTTCCATGTCGGCGCAGTGTCTGAAAAGAGTGGTTGTGGCACGGAGGCCATAGACGGTGGCGGTGGGGAGATGCCGCTCGACCCGATTTTCAACAACCTTATCATCGGGGATGAGGATGTGGAATTGCTACAAGCGGTGATGGACGAAGACGAACATGCCGTTCAGCAGGCTGGGGCTGCTACGTCGGCCAATGTTGTTGTGGTGGAGCGGTCGGCCAGTGTTCCAGCGTCCAACTAGGTCGCGCAGGCCGGGCCGTCGCACCCGTCGCCCGGCGTCACTTTTGTTGCCCAGGCTGGTCCGTCATTAGCGACCCTCTTTCCTGCCAGCGTCACGGCTGCTGATTAGGCTGGTCAGGCCGGACCGTCCCTCCGCCACGCCGCCCTTTCAGTGGCTAGCCAGCCGGCCAAACAGGGCCTTCGAACCAGTTGGCGGGCGTCACAGCTGCAGACCAGGCGGGTCAGGCGAGAACGTCCACACAACCGGCAGGCGGACCGGTGGCTAAACACGCCGACAAGGAAGGGCAATCTGACCGTATGGAGGAAGGCGGCGAGAAAAAGAAAAAACGGAAGGGTAAAGCCACCGCGTCTAAGAAGAAGGCCGTCGTTCCGAAAGATCGCAGGGGGCATGGTATTAGGTTGGACAGGACAAGCGGCGGCAGGTGGCAGGGCGAGGTAAACCTAGCTAGAAAGTCTCGCTACACGGGCCGGCCGGACGACAGGATGGAGGTGGCGTATCTCAACGGGCTTGCGACGACCCTCTTCGACGGTCACGCCAGCCAAATCATCTTGGACGATCGACGTAAAAGAAGAGGACATGAAGCGCTGGAAATCGGATTTGGAGGAGGAGAAGGTGATACCAAAGGGGATGTGGATAGTGATGTGGGAACGCGGCGCCGTCATGTTTCGTGCACTGTAAGAATGGTGGGAGTCGATGTGTTAAGAGCTGCGTGTTAGATGTCAAATTGTATGCATGATATATATGGTTAGGCTGTAGTGGGGTAGCCAATATGGGGTACAGCCCCATTTAGGGTTTCATACTTGTACCCAACTCTTTCACACTGCATTCATTCCTGCTACTACATTCTAACATGGTTTCAGGGCACTAGGTCCGTAGGACCGTCTTATTTTCCAGGCCCACCTACCGCTGCGGTTACCGCGCTACCCCACGTGTTGTCCTGCGCTAGCCTTCGCCTGCCTTGCCTTGTGACGTGCTACGCTTCGCACGCCGTCCTACAGCCCTCGTGCTGCCTACTGTTGCCCTAGCTACGCTTTGTGCACCGCCCTACAGACCCGTAAGGCCAGCGCACCGCCCCTGCAGGCCCGTAAGGCCACCGCGCCGCCCCTGCAGGCCCGTCAGGCCCGCGAGCCGCCACTGCAGGCCCGTCAGGCCCGCGCCCCGCCCCTGCAGGCCCGTCAGGCCTGCGAGCCGCCCCTGCAGGTTCGTCAGGCCCGCGAGCTGCCCCTGCAGGCCCGTCAGGCCAGAGCGCGGCCGCGCCCTGCAGCCGATGCGGCCCCGCCAGGCCGCTCTCGCGGCCCCGCCCTGCCGTCGACGTGGCCCCGCCCTGCCGCCGTGTCGCGGCCCGCCCTGCCTCTGACGCGGCCCCACCCTGCCGCCAACGCGGCCTCGCCTGGCCCCGCCCTGCCGCCGACACGGCCCCGCCCTGCTGCCGACGCGGCCCCGCCCTGCCGCTGACGCGGCCCCGCCCTCCCACTGTTGCGGCCCCGCCCTGACGCCGACGCGGCCCTGCAAGGTTGCGGCCCCACCGACGCGGCCCCGGCCTCCCGCCGTGTCGCGGCCCGCCCTGCCGCTGACGCAGCCCCGCCCTCCCGCTGACGCGGCCCCGCCCTGCCGCCAACGCGGCCCCGCCCTGTCGCCGACGCGGCCTCGCCTGGCCCCGCCCTGCCGCCGACACGGCCCCGCCTTGCCGCCGACGCGGCCCTGCGCTGCCGCCGACGCGGCCCCGCTTGGCCCCGCCCTGCCGCCGACATGGCCCCGCCCTGCCGCCGACACAGCCCCGCCCTGCAACAGCTGACGCGGCCGTGCCCTGCCGCTGTCGTGGCCCCAGCCCCGCAGCTGACGCGGCCCTACTCTGCAGCCGCTGTTGCGGCCCCGCCGTCGCCGCCGTCGTGCGCCTGCCCTTCCCGCCACTGGTGAGCACCTGCCCTAACCGCGCTTCCCACGCGTCTGCCTTGTTAGCACACTGCAGCGCCATCTGCCTGTCTGCCTGCGTGCCTGCCTCGCCTGCCCTGCCTGCGGTGCTACTGCTGCTACTGCTGCTACTTCTGTTACTGCTGCTAGGCTGCTGCTGCTACTGCTGCTGCTACTACTGCTACTGCTGCTACTGGCGGTGGCCAGATGCAGCTCCACCAACGTTCGCGCGAGTCTCTCACGCCCCAGCAGCTTCGTGAGTGGTACGCTAGTTGGGGTTGTGGCGGTAGCCGTCGTAGCTGTCGCCCTGGAGCTGGTTGTGAAGATTAGAACGAGAGAATGATTGAACTATGAAACAGTTGGGTACAAGTACTAACCCTAATTGGGTTGTACCCCTTATGGGCTACCCCACTACAGCCTACACAGATGTATAAGCTATAATGTTCTGACACACCCCCATAGGCAAAGTGGGGGAGAACAAGTGGTCACAAGACCAGTCAAGCGAAGCAAAGCAAGCTCAGGGTGGATCACAAAGTCACCACACAGTCCGAGCACAAGAGCAAGGCCACAAGGCCAGTTCACATGCAAGATCATATATATATAAAGGTAAACAAGCAAGTGCAGGTATAGAAAGAGTACAGTACAAACAAGATCAAGACGTGAGCAAGTGAGGCCAGGTAGGCACAAGACCTAGCAAAGTACAGAAGCGCTGATGATCACAAGGCGGAAGGGCCTTGGTGAAGATATCAGCAGTGTTGGCCTCAGAGGCCACGTAGGTGAGGCGGAGCTGACCACGCTGCTGCAGCTAACGAGCCAGGAAGTAGCGGAGAGCAATGTGCTTCGTTCTGTGCTCCATTCTGTGCTCCCGACACAAGGCCAACATGGCCTTGTTGTCTACGTACAGAACTGGAGGAGGACGAGGCGGCTCTCCTAGGTCAGTCAGCAAGTAGGTGAGCCAGCGTAGCTCCTATGCAGCCATGGCCCCTGCGTAGATCTCAGCCTCAGAGCTGGAGCTGAGAACAGAGGACGAGCGGGTGGACCGCCACAAAACAAATCCGGAGCCAAGGCTGAAGGTGTAACCCTGTGACGACCGCTGCAGAGCCTGGCCGTCAGCCCAAGAAGCGTCAGCGTGACCTGTGAGGACCACTCGACGTCGCCCTCAAAGCACTAGCCCCATGCCCGACGTACTGCACACGTAGCGCAACACCCTCTTCGCTGCAGCCATGTGCTCTGGTCGGTGTCTCCCAGGAGCAACATAGCGTGCCAAGATGCTAAGAGGGTATGCAAGGTCAGGTCGTCTGCAGGTCATCAGGTACATGAGGCAGCCAACAAGCTCTAGGTACGGGTCACTCGGCTCTACACACTCATCCAAAGGCAGAGCTGAGAGAGAGTGGCGAGTAGACAGAGGAGTGGCCTGAGGCAAAGAGTACGTGAAGTCGAAGCGCTGAAGGACCTGCTGCACCATGTGTGACTGAGTCAGGGTAATGGTGCGCTGTGCTCTGTCCCGGGTGATGTGCAAGCCAAGGTAGCTGCGCAGTTCACCTAGGTCTGTGCACGTGTGTCTCTTCTGCAGCTCGGACTTCACGTGGGCGAGTCCAGCAGTGTCAGCAGTGGCAAAGACCAAGTCGTCGACGTACACGAGGATCTAGACGGCGGCAAAGAGGTGTCGGTGCGCAGAAACAGCGACGGGTCGGCTGTAGAAGGAGCAAACCCAAGAGCCGCAAGTGTAGTCCTCAGTGTGTCGTGCCACTCGCGGGGTGCCTGGCGGAGACCATAGACTGGCCGCCGGAGGCTCCATTGGGTACCAGGGGGAAACGACCCAGTGAAGCCAGGTGGGCGGCGTAGCCAGATCTCCTCGTGCAGGCTGCCCTGCAGGAAAGCTGTGCTGAAGTCAAGAGAGTGCAGCTCGTAGTCGCGCTGAGCGACTATGTGCAGCAGCACCCGAAGAGTGGTCATCTTCGGGGTGGGAGAGAAGGTCTAAAAGTAGTCAACTCCCTACCACTGACTAAAGCCTTGAGCCACGTAACACGCCTTGAAGACAGGCGGAGAACCCGGAGGCTGCTTCACCCTGAAAATCCACATGCCACTGACAATGTTCGCCCCAGGTGGGGGAACCTCGTCAACGTAGGTGCCTGTGGACTTCCAGGAAGCCATCTCTGCGTTCATGGTTGACTGCCACTGAGAGGAGTAGGGACCCTCGATAGCCTCAGCGTACGATCGAGGAGTCGGGATGTCTGGTGCATCCGGGTCTCCCTCAGGGGCAATCAGCGTGGACACGAGATGGGGCAAAGCAGCAGCAAAGCACTGAAACTCCTCCTATCTGTCCTCAAGGACGTCCGTGCTAAGAGCACACTCACCCCCGACGGACGGAGGACAGACAGACTCAGACTCAGCAACGAGACTGGTAGCGTAGTCTAGACGACAGCGAGCAGCGAAGTCGACAAGCTCAGCAACTAGGGCAGACGCAGCAGTGGACTCAAAGGAAGGGTCAGTGACAACAGTAGCAAGGAGACGCGTGACCGAAGGACTAGCAGCACGAAGGGAGTCAGACTCCGGGTCAGCAAGAGTAGGAAGAGAGGACTCTGGAGGAGACGGCAACGGGACACGCAGAGGAGCAGTGGAAGGACGCAGGGCCATCTGGTGCGTGCCGGGGACCGCAAGAGGACGCGGACGCGCAGTACGACCACTAGTGCGAGCAGTATGAACAGGTGACGCAGGACGAGACGCAGGCGCACGACGCTCAG